TTTCATTTCTAATCCCCGAGTGGTGTTTTCGCAACTGGCCTTGCCAAGCTTCCCACATACGTTTTGGAACTATCACAGATTATCAGACAAACTAAATAGGGTGTTGAACATATTGAGAATAACCCAGATTTAAAAACAAAATCAACCCCAGAGATGGTCAAATGTGATCCCTCAATACTGTGTGATTGCACACATTACACCTCCTACATTTGAAATGTCCTATTGTTAAAGCACTTCCCTGGGTCCTAGTACTAGTTAAAATGCTACTTAAGATCTCAGTGTGAATTAAAATTTCCTTTAAATCCCTCGTTCTCTTAAAACCAAATTTTTAGGCATTCCTCTGGAGGTGCCAATTTCTAAGAAAAATTCTTCTTAGTTGACTAGCCAGGAGAGCATAGCTGAAAGTGCAGATCAATCTGTCTCAGGTGATCCTTTTTAAAAATCTCTCAGTAGCATTTTCCTAACCTGCGCTACAAGTCAATTCATCCCTGGCACATGAGAAGGAATTTGCCTTTTGGACAATTTGTTAGGGTTAAAAGAAATACAGTACAGAGAAAAGGCTGTTTCTAGAAAGAAGCTGTAAGATGACAGCAGACTTCAACAGTAGATGACGTTGGAGGAGGGCCAATGTTATCCCTATCTTCAAAAAGGGCAAAAAAGGGGAACCTGGGAAATACAGGCCAGCCAGCCTTCCATCAATCCTAGGCAAAATTCTGGAAGAGATCATAAAGCGATCATTGTGCAAGCACTTAGAAAACAATGTAGTAATAACAAGAAGCCAACAAGAACAAATCCTGCCAAACTACAGTGGTGCCTTGCTTAGCGATTGCCTCTTTTAACGATGTATTCACTTAGCGATGAGGTTTTTGGAGCGATCTTGCACTCTGTTTATTTATTTAGCAACGTTTCCTATGGGGAAATTTCACATAGCGATGTTTAGGACCTTGCTTCGCTTAGCGATGACAGTTTAGGTCCCTCTGTTTTGCTTAGCGATGTCCGTTTTCGCTATTTTAAGTGTGTCTTAAAATGTTCAAAAACTGTTTAAAATGCTTGGAATTGTTAGTGCACCCTGTAAAACCTTTGCAAACTTAATTTGGCTTTGTTCTGAGTCTTCGTTAATTTTTGGTGAATTCCCCCCCATTGGAATGCATTGAACTGTAGGTTTGACAGTTCAATGGGAAATGGTGTTTCCCATTGCACTCCTAAGAGAATGCATTCCTATGGAAATACATTCCTATGGGAAATGGTGTTTCACTTAGCAATGTTTTCCCATAGCAATGTTTTTTTTGGAACCAATTAACATCGCTAAGCGAGGCACCACTGTAATTTGATCTCATTTTTTGATCAGGTCACCTCCCTGATAGACAGAGAGAATGCTGTAGACATAGTATATCTTGACTTCTACAAAGCTTTTGACAAAGTGCCCCAGTATATCTAGACAAGCAAGCTGATTAGGTGTGGGCTGGATAGATCAAGGGTGAGGTGGACACATAGTTGACTACAGAATCAAACTCAGAAGGTGATAATTATTGGGGTAGCTCAAGGCTCAGTTCTGGGGCCAGTGTTCTTCAATATCTTTATTAATGACTTGGATGAAGGAGTGGAGGGAATGGTTGTCAAATCTGCAGATTATACAAAATTGGGCGGAATGGCTAATACCCCTAAATGACAAAAATAAAATTCAAAATGACCTTGATAGGATGGAACACTTCGCCGAAATCAACAGAATGAAATTCAACAGGGATAAGTGTAAAGTACTGCACCTCGGAAAAAGAAACCAATTGCACAGTCACAAGATGGGGGATACCTGGCTCAGCAAAACTACGAGCGAGAAGGATCTTGGAATTTTTGTAGATCACAAGATGAATATGAGCCAACAGTGTGATGTGGTTATAAAAAAGGCAAATGCTATTTCAGGCTACATTAATAGAAGTATAGTTTCCAAATCCCACGAGGTGCTAGTCCCGCTCTATTCAGCACTGCTTAGGCCTCACCTTGAGTAATGTGTGCAGTTCTGGACACTGCACTTCAAGAAAGATGCTAACAAACTGGAACAAGTTCAGAGAAGAGCGACAAAATGATCAGGAGACAGGAAACCAAGCCTTAAGGGGAAAGGCTAAAAGAACTGGGCATGTTTAGCCTTGAGAAAAGAAGACTGAGGGGTGAAATAATAGCACTTTTCAAATATTTGAAAGGCCGTCATACAGAGCATAGGTTCCCAACGACCTTTCGGCAACCTGACAGCAGTCCGCAGCCTAGGCAGGACCAGGCCGCGGACAGAGATTTCCTGCTTCCTCTGCGAGGGCCCTTCCTGCGAGTGCCACCGCGCGCATGCACGAGAGCGTGTGTATGCACGCTGGCACCCCGAGAGCCGCAGCACGCATGCGCACAAGCAAGCTCTACCCCCTGCAGACACATGATGCCCATGCAAATATGGTCACTTTATGCTCTAAACTAGGCATTCCACCCAATTCTGTTATCCTCTCTCCATAACAAAGCCATGTGAAGGTTTTAGCACCACAGTTAGTAGTTACAACCTTGGTAAAGGTTCCCCTTGACAATTTGTCCAGTAGTGTCAGACTCTAGGGAGCGGTGCTCATCCACTTTTCCAGGCCATGGAGCCAGCATTTGTCTGTAGACAGTTTCCGTGGTCATGTGGGAAACTGGCATTTGTATGGTATCTCTCCTGTGTGGATCCTCATATGACTTATTCGTGTTGAATTCTCAGCAAAAACTTTCCCACACTCCTGGCAGTGGTACGGTTTCTCTCCTGTGTGAACTCTCTTATGTCGTAGAAGGTGTGAATTTTGTGTAAAACATTTTCCACACTCCTTGCATTTATATGGTTTTTCTCCTGTATGGAGTCTTTTATGCTTCAAAAGGCTTGAACTTTTAGTAAAACGTTTCCCACACTCCTGGCATTTACATAGTTTCTCTCCTGTGTGGATCCTCTTATGATTCATGAGTGTTGAATTTACAGCAAAACATTTCCCACACTCCTGGCATTTGTATGGTTTTTCTCCTGTATGGATTCTCTTATGACACACAAGGTGTGAATTCTGAGCAAAACATTTCCCACACTCCTGGCATTTATGAGGTTTTAATCCTGTGTGGATCCTCTTATGACTCATAAGGCTTGAATTCTGAGCAAAACATTTCCCACAGTCCTCACATTTGTACGGTTTTTCACCTGTGTGGACTCTATTATGATTCAGCACATCTGAATTCCGAGCAAAACATTTCCCACACTCCTGGCATTTATATGGTTTCTCTCCTGTGTGGATTCTCTTATGACTCACAAGGTGTGAATTCTGAGCAAAACATTTCCCACACTCCTCACATTTGTATGGATGTTCTCCTGTGTGGACTCTTCTATGCCTCAGAAGGCTTGAATTCACAGCAAATGATTTTCCACACTCATGGCATTTGTACGGTTTCTCTCCTGTGTGGATCCTCGTATGACTGATACGTGTTGAATTCTCAGCAAAACATTTTCCACACTCCTTGCATTTGTACGGTTTATCTCCTGTGTGGAGCCTCTTATGCTTCAAAAGGTTTGAATTTCTAGCGAAATGTTTCCCGCACTCCTGGCATTTGTATGGCTTCTTTCTTTCACGATTCACAAAGTGTCGGATCCAATTGAAACATTTCCCAGACATTTCACTCTCAAAGCACCGTTTTCCAGTGTGGATCCTTTTGTGAAGCGTCAGCGCTAGCTTCATGGCAAAATGTTTTCCACACACAATGCACGTGTAAGGCTTCTCTGGAATGCAGCTTTCCCTTTCTGCATGTATTCTCTGGCATCTGGTCACCTCTAATTGATGCAGAAAACTCTTTCCAGATTTGGGATACAAACTTTTGTTCCTCCAGTTATCTCCAAGCAAGAAGGACAAATGCAGGAGAGACAGAACTGAAGAGTCAGATCGATCTATGGGGGGGAAAAGAGAAGGATTTAATAAGAGTGGATTTGGATGCACAAAAGCCCACACAGAAATCAATCTGTTGGGTGTTTAAGGTACATAATATTTTTTCCCTTTCTCCCTCTTTAATTTGGATGCAGCCCACACAGAAATCAATCTGTTGGGTGTTTAAGGTACATAATATTTTTTCCCTTTCTCCCTCTTTAATTTTGCAACCTCATCTCCTGACCTATGTGAGGGTTCATCTCTGCCTCCCTTTTTTGTTCCCCATCAACAAATACTCTACACAACAGTTCTTGCTTTAAAGCATCAACATTTGATTCCAAATCAATTAAACAAGCAGGTTCCACCTTCTCCTCCAACAGAGAGAGGAAGGGGTTAACAGAATAATTTGCTAAAAGATCTGAATTCCCCAAATCTGGGGATTGGGATTATTTTTCCTCCCAGTTTAAGTGTCACTGGGGTCCCTTGGAAATTGCCAGGGCCACAGAGGCAGTGTGTTGTCTCCCCACAATGGACTGTGATTGGGTTCGTTAAAGTTCTGGAGCAGTTCCTCTTTTTTGGCAGGAAATGACAACTGAGCCTCTTTTTGAACATTAACAGATTTATTCGATTTAGCATTAGGCGGACCTATAATAACTTCTATAGGTTCAAAACAACCAATGTCAGATACCTGCCCATATTGCAAGGATGACAACTCTGACCCAAAACTGACAGGATTCATGGAGGGGTTGGCCCCAAACGCTCTTGATCGGTGGGTTTCCTCATTGGCGTACTCCGAACCATGCAAATTGTGCCACAGCACGCATGTCTGGCCCAATCTCCCTCCAGTGGTGAATGGTTGAAGGAAGAGTCCGGCCGGATCACCTTCTTCAAGCGACCTTGCCCCCGGGGATAAACCACAACTGTCCCTTCTAAAGACTCTGCAGATGTTCCCTTTCTTTTAGGTGCATCCTGATCAGGCAACAATCCTCCCATTTTTAGGTTAGGGAAGTCTTCTAGCAATCCCTTTGTTTCATCATAAATCAGTTCTTCTTCCCCTTCACTCTCCTTTTCCCTCTTCCTCCTTTCTCCCTTCATCGGTATACTGTACTGTCTCCTCCCACTTGGTTCTCCTATACAGTGGTGCCTTGCTTAATGACGTTAATTCATTTCAGCGAAATCGCTGTAGAGCAAAAACGTCGTAAAGTGAAATTAAACAGCCCACTGAAATCCATTCTATGTGTTTCAATGGGCTGAAAACTCACTGTCCAGCCAAGTTCCTCCATAGGGGTGGCCATTTTCGGGTGCCTAAAAAGCGAAAAATCACTCCTAAACACAGCGGGGAGCCATTTTGTACACCTGGCGGCAATTTTGAAACCCGATGATCAGCTGTTTTTGATTGTCGTAAAGCGAAAATTGGTTCCCGAAGCAGGGAACCGATCATCGCAAAGCGGAAAAACCCCATTCAAACCATCATTTTGCGATCGCAAAAGCAATTGCAAAAACATCGTCGTCAAGAGGATTCGTCATTAAACGGGGTAATCGTAA